CACACTAATCTCAGCAAACTATGCTTCTTATATTCTCTATTAAGTGATATTTTAACACCTCAGTCTTATCAGTATGTATCCAGGAAAAAAATCTTGGGGCTATACGGATTGTTTTTGCTTCACTATCTCAACCAAAAGCTTTGAGGAAATCATGTTCTTCATTCCACACTCTCCAAGTTCCTCTAAGCGCCAGGGAAAAGTGAAACCAGCTCTTCCAAAACCTGCCCTGAACAACGACAGGGCGATGTTCCTTGGTGCCTGACAAGAACTGTACATGTGCTGGAACTAACTATTATATTTTCAGTGTGCTGCAAGGCTGACAGAGTGCTACAAGATAGATGGGGGATTTCAAGACTGGATGATTTCATTTAATCAGAATGTGTGACATTCCCCTATACCAGGATAGAAAAACTTCCTATAAAGACATAAGTCTGCAAAGACACTATTTGTGCAGGAGACCACATATGTGTGAGGTGTGTACACACATCACCTGTGCACACAGTGAGCACAGATCATTCTGTTTCATGTGTTGATCAGATTATAAGATGACAAACCCTTTGCTGTTCTCTTCACATGGAAGGCTCTTGTCTTCCACCTTTGGGTTTCCTCCTAACGCTTGCTTCTCTGGAATTCAGCTTTGCTTTTTATTTTTTGGTGTTCTTGGTGGTCCCAAGAACACCATTGATGCTGAACAAGTAATGACCAGAGTTGTGAAATGGAGCCTAACATTTATAGAACTGGCTCATCTATCAAAATTTGGACACTGGAGCACAGAGTCAATTATCATGTATTAACTTGCTCTTGTTGGCATTTTAATGCATTTAGAAAAGATTCACTTCCTCTCCACACAGACACCCTGCCAACCCATAATGCTAGCAGAATTGAGACACTTTAAACAAAATTCAACTTCCTCTTGGATCCTAAAGATTCCTGAACACAGTGCAGTTCATATTTCTTTATAAAAGATGAAGCTATGAAATCAACTGTATCAGGCACAAACTTGGCTAGAACAGCAGCGCCTTATGTGTAATCTTAGGTTCTAAGAGCCTTTTTTACATAAATTGTCTTTACATAATTTTCATAGGCCTGTAAAAGAATAGACTAGGCACCATTCCCCTCTTTGAAGGTAATCGATACGTAAACATATGAAATGATCTTTTGCCTATGCAGAAAGAAAGAAAAGATGAAGAAGACAAGAAATCAAAAAGGAAGGAAGAAATGAAGAGGAATCAGGGAAGGAGGGAGAGGAATGAAAAAATACGGACAGGAAGTAAGTAAAAGGAGAGAGAGGATGGGCAGACAAACTGGCTCAGTGGGTAAAGTACTTGCCAGGCATGCAAGCAAGAGGATCCTGAGTTTAGATCCCAAGCACTGACAGAAAGTCAAGTGTAGCCACATATTCCTCTAAGCCTGTGCTGCAGAAGCAGAGGCAGGTAGATCCCTGGAATTTGCTGGCCTGGTGAAAGCAGTGTGTTTCTGGCTCAGTGAGACACCTTGTCTCAAAAAAAAAAGGTAGAGGGTGATATGCATGCATACATATGTGTACATGCATCTACAACCCCCCACCCCACATTTCACAATATGTTCTTCAGCCCCATTAGTGTGGCAGGTGCAGCACTAATAGTTTTAATAGAAGTAGCACCAATGGTGATAACGGGAGCATTGGCAGCAAAGTAACAGTCCTTGTGGTAGCAGTAGTGACACTATTGGCTTATCTTTATATGCCAAAGATGTTTCCAGGGCATTTCCATAGGCAATGTTTCATTCATTCTTCAAATCTAGCTTCCAGGATAGTTATTAGGGGCTCCATTCTAGGAGAAGGCGCCTTGTCAAGGACAAGGACTCAGGGCAGTCATCTTTTCTCAAATCACCCAGGATCTAAGTGTTCATCTCTTGTCTTCTGACACAGTGGGCTCTACCCTAGGACCGTCAACAACCTAGTATCACTTTGCTTCTTTGTGAAGCGGCTAGTAGATCCCACCCCTCAGGCCCACATGCTTCTGGGAGGAAATTTGCAGAGAGGAGCTCAGTCTAGACACACAGGTGAAGTAGACACCAGAGATGAGGTTACAGAATGGTATCAGAGGTATCATACCCTCTGCTCTACTGGGCTCACTCAGAGTGCCCTGACTGTGCAGTTCCTAAGAAGGGGTTAGGACTGGGGACAAGGAAGGTGCGGCCTCTTTCTTCTTGTTCCTTTTGCTGATGGTGTCTCTCTGGTGATATTAACTCTGCCTTCATGGCAAATAAGAAGTCTCACCTGTGGCTTGAGAGTGAAAATTTTCACTTTTCCATCATCTATTTGCATTTAGACCTCTGGCACAGGAAGTACACCAGGGCTTCAAAGTGGATGGAATGTCATATTTCTACTATATGCAAACAGCTCCACCCTTGGGAGACCTAGCCCACCACAGGGGCTGGAAAGGTTTCTTGACCATATCTGCCCAGTGGGCACTGGCTTCATGATGGTTAGATGTGAAATGATAAGGTCAGTAGGCAGGGAGAGGAATAACCCATCACCCTCTGTGACTAACTCTTGGAATTCAGAAAGAAAAGGAGAACATGGATTTTAAAGAATTCCAGGAATCTCCACCATTGCTGCATTGGTGCTTGTTACTTGAGTGATGACAAAGGATGAAACAGAGAAATGTTCTGGAGACTCTGGCCACTGTGCCCAAATGGGAGAGCATTACCTTGAGCAGAAACAGAAATCTCCATCTGAAACCCTGGGGGTGTTGGTTTGCAGACAAGCACAAACCACATAGCCCTTTCCTGAGTGCTGTGGACTCCTCAGCCTTCCTGGGCAAGTGATGGGGGTTGTATTTATGACTAGAACTCTGGGTTGGTCTTTCTTTTAGAAATATCAAGGAGGAAAGGGTTGTGGGGCAAGGGAAAGCAGAGACAGAAGAGCTGTCAATGTGCTTCATGTTAAATAAAACCTACCAAGACTTAGCTGAGAATTTTAGCAGAATCCAAATGTGCTAGGGAAAAAAAAGCATGGCTCCCATCTCTAAGGTTCACAGCTAAGCTGGCTTAGAATCACACATGCCAAGGTTAAAAATAAAAAGCAGCCATCCCTGAATGACACAGGCTCTGGGAAGGAAGCCTGAGGTAAGCTGTTCGGTGGAGGAGGGAGGAAGGAGAAGGAAAACCTGGGCTCAACGTAGAGGTTTTTATGGGGGGGGGGACATTACCTAAAAGCCAGATGCTCAGAGATTTGCTATGCTGCAACTTAGAAGGCACTTCACACTGGTGAAAGGTTTCATAATGATCTGAAGGTTTTCCATCGAGGGAAACCTTGGCACACTATGGCTGTGGCAGACCCTGTCAAGCAAGGTGCTGTCCTTCGAATACTTCTGCGGCCACACACTGGGGTTTGGCTCAGACTGTGTCCACACATATATAGATGGGACACCCATGGGTCACAGTTTAGAAAGCACAGTGGGACATCAGTTTTGGTATGGAACCACACCTGACACTGTGTACCATTCTGTTTCACTAATCAGGCATAATGGTGTTGGGGCCATCCACAGGTCAGCTGTGCCCTGCTTGGTTCCACTGCAAGCATACTGTTTGCCTCCTTGGGACAGTGTATGTCCCATCCCTTATCTTTAACAGCCACAGCCTCTGCTGACCACAACTAGCTGGCAAAAGTAACAAGACTGTTCTGTGGGTACCCCCTCTTTGCACAAAGGCTCTCTCTTATGACTTCAGTGGGGTTTTCTTTCTAATGAAATTGTCCTTTATCCAATACGCATATGACTTCTACTGACTAAAGGGCTGGCTTTTATGAAATATAAGAAATAGCCTTAGCAACTGTGTCAGCAACCATGGCATCCCTCCACAATTCCATTACTATGCAGAAGTTTTTAGAATGTTTTCAGGGGATCCGGTGAATAGTGAGACTTCTGTGGCATCCATTTATTATACTCCAGTCCCAGGGGTGCAGTCCATATGTGAGCCCATCCTGCACTTCCGTACCACACAGGGTGCTGCAGGTGTTGGAGAGTGGAGGCTGCCACCTCCCCAAAGCTTCAGCCTATTTACAGATAACCTCAGACTGGGGGGAACTCTTGCCCTCAGAGGCAAGGGAAGAGTGAACAGTTGAAGCATATTTGTCTATTCCTAGGATCCGGCCTAGCTTTCATTTGAGGTGCATTCCAAATTCCTCCTGTTGGTTGCTGGTTTAGAAGCACTCTTAATGCTGTCTTTTTTGCACCTTTCAAACACTTTGGGAAAGTCTTGGCAGACAGACAGGGCAAGGACTGTTTTCCTGTCCATTGTGATGGATGAGGAGAGTTTAGGGAACTTGTGCAATCTAAACAGCAGAGCCAAGACTTGAATCCGGGATTCTTTCCTTTACTTTGAGCCCACTGATCCAGGGTGTGGGCAGCAGGGGGAGTCAGCCCAGCCTGGTATCAAGTATCTGGTTCTGAGAATGTCACTCTCTAGGGAACCCATCTCATCTCCTTTCTCCTTTCAAGATCCCAGAAAACAGTTTGTCTAAACTATGGGAATCTACTCCGGCAGAGCCCACCTAAAGGGGTTTCTGTCATGGCTTTTCTTTCTCAGAACCCTTCAGGTGCCACAGACCAGGGAACATCAGCTTAGAGTCCTTGTGGGATAGGGCTGTGGTCAGACAGCACACGCCCTGTCCTGGCCCTTTGCCTGGAGCACCCAGGTCCATTCATCCTAAAGACCAAGACGTGGAGCCAGTTCTCTAATCAGCACTAAGACTTGACTGGAAATCTGCTCCCTTCCTTCCAGGGATTCCGGGGAAAAGGAGGAACGCCCTTTTCAGTTCAAAGAATCTCCTGTAGGCTACATAGTCTCAGGGAAGTTCTGGGTAGAGCCTACTGGAGTACCCCCCCCCATGCCCCACGTGCCAGCCTGAGCCCACTCAACCAGACGGACTAAGGGGAAGACAAAAGCAAGAGATGGCTCCAAGGACAGCGGACTGGAGACCTGCACGCAGAGTGGAGCTGCCCTGGCCCCCTTACCTGTACCAGTCGAGCCCCCGGCCGTAGTTCCTATCGAAGAAGTGGGGCTCAGTGCCCAAGGCTCGCACGTCCGGGTGCACACGGATAAACTCCAGCACCGCTCGGGTTCCCCCCTTCTTGACGCCGACAATGAGGGCTTGGGGTAGCCGTTTGGTGCCCACCTTCGGGGAGCCGGAGTGGTTGGATCCCGAGACGCGAGGTGCCGGCGCGGCTGCAGCCAGAGCGCTGGGAGCGCTGGGCTCACTGGGCGTCGGCCCCGGGGGATCACAGGGGCGGGACTTCGAGAGAAGTTTCTGGCCGCTTGCGCTGGTGCCGCGGAGGCAACGCGGCGCTCCGAGGAGGCGGCTCCGGCCCAGATCGTCGCAGCAGCACAGGAAGCTGTAACACAGGTAAGTGCAGGACAGCGACAGCGTGAAGGCGAAGAGCAGCCTGCGCGCCCTCCGCGGCTGAGCTGGCCCCGCGCGGCCCAGGACCCTATAGGCCATAGCTCCATGGACCCGCGCCAGGGGTCATGGTTTCCGAGGTGGCACCTGCGGCGGAGCTGCTTTGTGGCCCTGCGGTCGTCTAGAGGGCTCGCGTTGCGCTGTCCCCGCCGCGCGGGTCGGGTGTAGGGGACGCCGTCTCCTCCTGGCGCTGCTGGCCGGGGCGTGCACCGTGCCCGGGCATCCCGGGGGCTGTGGCTCCTCGGGGACCCGGTGGCTGCATTGCCAGCATCTCCCGGTGCTGGGCGAAGGGGGCTCCGGGCAGCGGGGCGGCTCCTAGCACTCCGTTCTCAGGGGCGCCGGGTTCGGAGCTCGCCCAGTGCCCGAAGCCCCATTCCGGAGGCTCGGAGCGCCGCGCAGGGGACGCTCGGTGGCCGCGCGGCTGTGCCGGCGGGAGGATGTGCGGACCGGACGGTGGCGCTGGCGCGGGCCGCTTTCCGGCTCCTCGGGAAATGCCGAGACAAGCGCGCTGCCGGCTCTATTTAAGGAGTCGCCTGACGTCAGCTGCGCGGGTCCCCCGAGCCCGCGCCGCGCCCGGGGACCTGCCCGCCCCCTGCGCCCCCACTCTCATTCCTTTCAGGGACAACACTGCCCCCGGCCCTCCACATGAGGTTCTCTCTCCAAGGAGTTCTGACCAGCTTGGGGCGGTGATGGGAGGGTGTCTAGGTACATCATGCATTCCTGCAGGAGGCTGGCCATCCCCACCACGCTGGTCTCTGGACACCTGAGTCAAGATTGAGCCGGTACCCACCCCAGACTCAGTCCGGGGTTGCGGCCGAAAGCACCCTGCCCTGATAGAAGGTCCCACTACCCTGACCTGCACGTGCACGCACACCCTAACTAGTACACCCCCATACCCCACAAGGGGTCAAGGGGAGAATCCCCTAACCTGGGCATAGGAAGAACAGCAGGGACACACCCCATCTCGACAGACATGCACAGCCTGGAATCTGACATCGTGTGCTGTGCCAGGGACCTGGGCGCACGCAGTAAAACGGATGGGTGGAGGAACTGAGCAAGAGCGAGATTCCGTGACTAATCATCCATCCCCTTAGCACCCCGCAGACTGACTCACACCCAGGCGGCTCGCTCTGTCTCACACCCATGGAGCACACACCTCCACCCCACTCTCACACCACCTCCCCCTGGGCCTGGAGGGAAAGATAGCCACACAGCAGAAGACTGCGCCAGACGGGTGCATCTCTTGGCAGCCGCCCCCTAGCGGTGGATTGCTCTCCAGGGAGCTGTCCAAGGTATCCGATGTTCTGTAAGGGCCAGCCAGGCTTCTCACAGTGACACTTGAGGAGGAAACAAAGGACGGGAAGCAATTCCACTGTGGATGATTCTCAAGTGACTGTCCCAAGGACAGTTCCCAATGACCATCATCAGAGCATGTTTGAATGAAGAGCCCCAGAACTGCCCTGAGGGACAGCACTAATACATTATACAAGATCAAAAGCCCGTGTGAATGGCCATGGCCTAAAACACAGCTCTGTTGTCCCTCAACAGCAATGCTGATCAAGTGGCTAGTGTCCCCAGATTGTTGACCCTTATGACTGGTCTCCACCTCCCACAGGCCCCATTAAGCTACATGTGACTTCATGTACATGAAGGGTACATGTGTACCCTAGCTCAAACCAAGCCCATCTCTAGAAAACTTAGACAAATCTTACTAGTGTAGCACTAACTACAAACACGTGCCAACACCTGTTAGATCATTTAATAATTATTTTAGTTTATCATATTGTTACCATTATCCCACATCACTTTGGGTTCTTTAACAAATAATATTTTTATTTATTCTTTGAGAATTTCATACATGTATATAAAATATTTTTTTAAATAGTCTTGTTCTTTTTATTTTCTGTGTGTGAGTGTATTGCCTGCATGTATGAGAGTGCACCCGTGTTGTGCAATGCCGCAAAGGTCAGAAGAGGGCTTCAGATTCCCCTGGAACTGGAGTTAAGGACAGTTCATAGCCACCATGTGGATGCTGGGAACAAAATCTGGGTCCTCTGTAAAAGCGGTCAGTGCTCCTAACCGTGAGCCATCTTTCCAGCCCCTACAGTATATTTTTTATCATAGCCACCTCCACTACCCCCTCCAACTCCCCCAGAATGTCCAGCTTGTCACCTTCATAACTTCACATCCTCCTTTTTAAATAACCAACTGAATATAATTGTGCTATCCCCAGTTACATGGGTGTGGGATCATCCACTGGAGCACTGGCAACCTATCAGTGGCCACATCCCCAAAGAAAATCACTCTCCCTCCCCCAGCAGCCATCAACTGCTAATAGGTCCTCAGCATGGGATGAGGCCTTGTGAGCCACTCCCCCATCCATGTTGGAATGTTGACTGGCTTGACCTTGTCAGGTAACCACAGCTATTGTGAGTCCACAAGTGCAAGGCCCCTGTCACATCCAGAAGACAGCAGTTCACAACACCCCCAACCCCAACTCTACAACTCTTACATTCTTTCTGCTCCTTCTTCCACAATGTTCCCTGAGCCTTGAGAGGAATGTGATATAGCTGTCATGTTTAATGTTGAGCACTCGTAGTCACTTATCCTTAGCACTTGACCAGTTATGAATCTCTGCATTAATTGCTGTCTACCATGAAAACAAGTTTCTCTGACTAAGGTTGAGAGTAGCGCAAACCTAGGCTTCTACTTGAAGTCTATTCCCTAGTTTAGATTCTTAATTCTAACAGTAGCTAACATGTATCAAGTGCTTGTTTTGTGCCATAATGTGCAAACTACTTAGCGGGCTTTACTTCATTTATCTTTGGACATAGGTATTATTATAGGCATTATGATAAGTCCTAATTTACAGAGAGTGGAAGGAGGTTAAATAAACACATACTCAGTAATTGGCAGAGATAGGATTAAATCCAGACAGTCTGACTCCAAGATTCAAGGTTTTAATTACAGAGCTCTGAAATGTCTGAATTTCCTTTGAGTATTATTCACATAATTCCATCTTAGATTTCTCTCCTAAATGTGAACTAATTGGTCTAGATTGCTACTACAATCTGGCACCTGGGACTGGAAGAGAATTTGAGGTATAGACTGAGTTCAGCAGGACCCTCACCTCCCTTTGGCAAGTCCTATTTATAGTAATTTCACCTAAGCTCCCACTGTCCTTTCCCTGTAGCTACATCCCACTGCTGACATCTCCAGCTTCCAGCCAAGTAACATCTCTAAGTGTTTCCTATAAGTGCTGGTGATTGAGGCATAAATACCCCATACTGCGCTTGCACAATGGGCTTTTGGGGAACCTAACATGTAGGTCCTTACATATTTGACCTGATTAAATTTTATCTCATCTCATCAATCTGCAGCTCTAGCTATTTTTCAAATGTCTACTTGAATCTCAAGTCTTGATGTAGCTTTCATATACTTGAAAATTAGAAAAGTTGTGTCCAAGCTTCAAGGTTTTTTAGGGTCCTAGGGAACAAATCCAGGTCCTCATACATACTAGGGAAGAACTCTACCACTCAGCTACATCCCAGCCCTCAGGTTTATTTTCAATTCTATGTATATTTTGGGCAAGTTGTTACTTTCTCTGAGTCTGTTTTTTACCTGTAAAATGAGTTATGATTAACCTCAAACATGCTCATTGGTTCTGCTGTCGTGTAATTCTATGGTTATAGGATTTCATTACCCAGAGCAGGAGCCAGTCTCTTGGCATCATGTCACCTCCACATCCAATTGCAATTTAATTAACTCTTCACTCAAATTGTTAATAAAAATGGGATAAAGAGAGAGTCACCTACATTATTTCCACACTCAATTGTTCTGTGTGTTGTCACATGCTTTCTAATGCGTGTTTCTTCAAAACATATATATTGAAAGGAGTTCTCATACATACTTTCAGCAATTCTCACATCACCGACCTGCTATTTCTGCATTCCACTGTTAAAATTACAAGGTTAGATGTAGAGTAATCCACACTGACAAGTGCTTTTGCCTTAGGAAAAAGAACTAAGCATATGGTTATTTCCTATAATTTTGTGCTTGCTTCAATTTTAAATTTTTTATTTTTTAAGTAAACTTTACATTTTCAGATACACCAGAGCTAGGCAAATTTTTTCCTTAAAAAGTCAACCAGAGGTGCTGGAGAGCTGGTTCAGAGGTTAAGAGCACTGGCTGCTCTTGCAGATGACCAGGTTCTGTTCCCAGCACTCACATGGCAGATAACAACCACCTGTAATTCCCATTCTAGGGGATCTGACGCCCTCCTCTGGCCTCCATGGGCATTGCCTGACACAGGTGAACTTACATACGTGCAGGCAAAACACTCATATACATAAAATAAAAACAAATAAAAAGATTCAGACTTCAACCAGAGTAATGACCATGACTGAGATAAGACAGTGGCTGTGCCTGTCATCCTCCACTACCATCATTTTACAGAGCCACCATGATTCTCCCTCAGGACTACCAGGTAAGATTATGCTGAGTCATCAGATAACACTTAGAGAAGTTGAGCGTCATTTTTTATCCCATTCAAGTCCAGAGGAAGGTGATTCAGGACTGGCATGGAAGTTCCTTAAGGGTAAGGACCCAGGCTCCTTCTATCTACTCTGTTTCTTCCACTGTAAAGTCACCTCATATTTCACAATGACTCACCTCCAGCCACCATGTTCACATTCTGATCATCAGGAAGAAAAGAATGGGGAGTGCAGGCCACATCCCTTTAGGGATATTTCTTGAGAGTCACCTACATTATTCCCACACTCAATTGATCTGTGTGTTGTCATATGCTTTTTAATGCGTGATATCTTTCAAAGCATAATCCTGATCATGGGTGACTATAAGACTGGCTAAAATTTTGAAATTTTGTTACCAATGAGGAGCTTAAAAGAGTTGTGGAAAGCAACTAGTAAACTCTATCACCTTCAAAAAACAATTTTTCCATGTAGTTTGAGTGGGATAAATCAAGTTCAAAAACAGATTTATGACTAAGCCTCCATGTTATAACCAAATTTGCAGCAAGTATCAATCACAAAATTTTAATGGAAATTCTTGTTCTTCTTATATGATGAACCAAATGAAAATAAGTTTGATGTTCCAATGGTCATCTCTGCCATCTAGAGGGGAGACCTTGAGAAGAAAGGTCACAAAGAGAAAAAGTGGGGGTCAGATGGAGAATCAGATTCCTAGAGATACTCTTTGAGCTTCTGAATCTAGCCATGCTAGGGCGTGGTCCCTGGATGAGAATGGTAATGAAGATGATGATGGCGATGGTGATGCTGCTGTTGCTGATGAAGCTGATTAGCTACCTTTCTATTACTTGTAATTGAAAGAGGTTTAAGCTAAGCACAGTGGCTCACAGCTCACACATGTAGCCCCAGCACCCAGGAGGCTGAGACAGGAGAATTGTTGTGAGTTTGAGAGGCCAACCTGGGGTACATAGTGAGTTCCAT